TTTTTCAGTGTTCCAAGATTCATTGTTTCTGCACCACACCCAGTGCTCCATGCAATATGTGTCCTCCATAATACCCACCACCAGGCTCACCTAACCTCCCCCACTCCTCCCCTCGAAAACCCTCAGTTTGTTTCTCAGAGTCCACAGACTCTCATGTTTCGTCTCCCCCTCTGATTTCCCCCAATTCACTTTTCCTGTCCTTCTCCCAATGTCCTCCGTGTTATTCCTTACGCTCCACAAGTAAGCGAAACCCTATGATAATTGACTCTCTCTGCTTGACTTATTTCACTCAGCATAATCTCTTCCAGTCCCGTCCATGTTGATACAAAAGTTGGGTATTCATCCTTTCTGATGGAGGCATAATACTCCATTGTATATATGGACCATATCTTCTTCATCCATTTGTCCGTTGAAGGGCATCTTGGTTCTTTCCAGTTTGGTGACTGTGGCCATTGCTGCTATGAACATTGGGGTTCAGATGACCCTTCTTTTCACTGCATCTGTATCTTTGGGGTAAATACCCATTAGTGCAATTGCAGCCAACCCTTCATTTTTCATCTCACAGGTGCTGACTGGGCTGATTTTCTGTCTTAAGAAAGTATACTGACAGCCATTGCCAATTGACCTCTTTGCTTCTAGTCTTGGAAAAATTAAGATTGTTCAGTCTCGCAGTACCTGAAAAATTGTGACTTTTTACAAAATTAATATTTATCGCATTGCTCGGAATCTTTTGTTTCTAGGTCAAATTCAGGATGGGTGACTGTGTGTGTAATTGGTTCAGATTGCAAACTGCTTTTGAGTACAACTTTAAAACTCTTCAAGGATGAAAAGGAATAATTTAAGTCTGAGGTGGTATACCCGAATTAATTTGCACATGTTATTTTTATTTAAGTAGGGTTCCAGCAGAGTTCATTTCTTCTTTCCCCAGTCTCAATGCCTGGTTTTCTGTTTATGGATCTATAAAGTTGAAATGTCCAGTAATGGTACCACTAGCCACATGTGGCTACTTAAATGTAAATTTATATTAATTAAAATGAGATAAAATTAAAAATTCAGTCCCTCAGTCACACTAGCCATGTTTCAAATGTTCAACAGCCACATAGGGCTAGTAACTATTATTTTGGACAGTGTAAATATTGAACATTTCTGTACTCAGAAATCTGTTGGACAGCACTCCTTACAGACTGTCACTGCCAATGTCCCTCCTATGTGCCCTTTCCTGGCCATGTTTTAGAAACATATCCCATGATCCAGGTCTCTAAACTTCATAACTTCATGGATTATTTCACAAGTCATCCGAGCTAATGTCCTTTGAGGCTCATGTCTTCTCTAAAATGTTGCTGTCAAGGACAGGTAGTTCAAAATACAAGTACAAGTCAATCTGGAATTAAAGAGACATTTGTACATAAGACAAATGTTATAAATCATGTGACTAGCTTCTAGTTCTTTCTGAGATCAAAATTCGTGGAAATAATAACCAGCAGAAAATCAGCAATAAAATTCCAGTGCTTTGGGGGAGGGTGGGTAGAGATTGGTGGGAAGAAATGGCACCTTCCACACACACAGAGTATGGTTTGATTATGTCATTGACTTAATTACCCAAAGATACAAGATCTTGTTGGGAACGAGGTAGCTTTCAAGGCAAGAGCTGATATGGCACAGCTCAGCCTACCTTCCCCTGACCCCTAGAGCTCCTGTTGGCATTATCTAGATAAGGAAAATCTTCACATGTCTGTAAACTCAAATCTTGCTACACTGCTGCCCTTTTATAATCACAGTTTACATCAGCAATCTGGAAGAACTCACACAAACGAGGCCTGCATTTCTATTTGTGGGACGATTTACAAACATCAGACGCTTGTGGGTTTCCAGCCACAGTCAGCAGCACCAAAGGAGCACTCTTATCCTGAGGAAAGCAGCAGAGTTGGGGGAGGGGGTCATCACTAACTCTGTGCCCAGAAAACCCATTTTCCTAATCTGTCCCCTCCCCCAGATTTTACATCTTTTTATCTGAGTGGGTCAAAGACTGAGTCTTGGGGCATCTGGGTGGCTCAGTGGGTTAAGCCTCTGCCTTCAGCTCAGGTCATGATCCCAGGGTCCTGGGATCGAGCCCCGAGTCAGGCTTTCTGCTCAGCAGGGAGCCTGCTTCTCCTCCTCTCTCTCTGCCTGCCTCTCTGCCTACCTGTGATCTGTCAAATAAATAAATAAAATCTTTAAAAAAAAAAAAAAAAAGACTGAGTCTTGACTGAAAACCATGATCCCAAGTCAATTTCCCCCAGAAAATCAAATCAGGGGAAAATCTAATTGATCGTAGAAGTTGGTTCTCAAGCAATAAGGCAGGTTAAATTAGAAAAGGTAAATGAGAATTCGGGCAGTGATTCTGGGGCAGGGGGGCTTTTGGGTACTTTTCAGACTTCTCATTGCTGTCGGTGATGATTATCCTGTTAGTTCTTACTTGATTTTCAGACTCACAGTTTTGTTTCCCTCAACAATCGTGGATCCGCACACTGTTCAGATACCTTTCTCACGAACTGGTAGAAGAGAGGGAAGAGTGAAATATTTTCCAGGGGTGGTGAGCACAAAGCAAAGAAAGCAGAAGGGGAGATGGGATGAATGGTTATGGACATTCTGGGGGTGGGGAAGGATTGCTTCGAGCTGTGGGGCGGGTGTGATGGTCATGGTACCGGTGAGCATTTGTGGAACACTTCATGCACTTTTTGAAATGCTTCGTGTGTATTAACCCATTTAGTGAGTTAATTAATGATTTAGTTAACTAGCTAACTCACTACATTTTGTCTTAAATTTAAGACAGCAGAAAAGTTGAATAAGGGGCAGGGACTCCTCGAGACAAAGATTCTGAGAAGGATATTATTCTCCCGCCTCAGACAGCAAAGTTGTCAGATGCACCACTTTCAGGGCTCAGTAACCAGCTTCTTGCCCTATAGCACAAGGGGGACTCAGGAGACCTGTAAGTGGGAGATAATTGAAAGTCCATGGTGCCTGGGTGGCCCAGTCAGTTAAGTGTCTGCCTTCGGCTCAGGTCATGATCTCAGGGTCCTGGGATCAAGTTCCGTATCAGGCTCCCTGCTCTGCAGGGAGTCTGCTTCTTCCTCTGCCCCTCATCCCACTCGTTCTCTCAATCTCTCTCCTCTCTCTCTCTCCCAAATAAATAAAATCTTAAAAAAAAAGAAAGAAAGAAAGAAAGAAAAAGGAAATCCTGTTTTCCTGTTACTTGTCTTTAAAAGGAGGAAGGCAGCTAAGATCAGTTTTGGAGGCCATCTTTGAGAATCTGAAGAGAGCTGTAGCATAATGTACATAATACCAAATTTTATATTTAATTAGAAATATTAGATCCCAGGCATATCCATCCAGATACACTGCAGTAACAAGGTCATGACAACAAAAATTACTCCCTGCTCACCATAGATGTTTGTCCTGGGTTAGTCTTGGATCTGCATTCCAGGGCTCAATCAGGGATCCGAGCTGATGCATCCGGCACACCATCTGGGATATCCCTGGTTGCTGGGTTATGGAAAAGGCAATATGGCAGATCACAAACTGGCTGGCTCCAGTTGAAAGTGACACACATGATTTCCATTCACTTTTCATTGCCAAGCAAGACACCATGTGCCATCCTTCCTTGTGCCTAGAATAAAAGATTTAAATTTCAGTGAACACCCATTAACCATGACCACACTAGGTCAAGAAGCCCTGAAGCAAGTATTTTGTAAATTCCTTTGCAGTTCAAGGTTCATGTGAGTCCAGATTAATTTATAATAAACTTATTCAAAATTTAGGCAGTAAGCCTGCATGTCTAAATGGTAAACATCAATTCCCCTCCAATCAGGTGGTCACCTTTATAGCCAGGACAAGAGTGAGCTTCCTCCTAATAGAGTATGAGCAAAAGATTTGGGACTGCTGCTTCAACTTTGAGAATTGAAGAATTGAGGAGATCTCTCCCAATCTCCCCAGGGGCTTCTTACAAGAGAGAAGATCTGGTTCCTCATTGGCAAAGTTATCTCAGTAGCTTATACATAATGAGGTTGGACCTGAGAGCTGGCAGTATCCCTCCCAACCCTGAATTTTTTTATTCTAAGCAGGTGCCTACTAATATTAAATACCAGAGGCCAGATTTTAGAGTGGCCAAGCAAAGTATATCTCAGGGACAGGAGTTCTGGAAACATGGCCATGGAGAGTCTGGGCAAGAGAATAGACCTATAGGATAGTAGCTCTATACAGTATCGTCAAGTGCCCAACCTCAATGACCATAGGCCCTTCATAATCTCTACCAGATTTCTTTTCTTAATTATATACTTTTGACATTTTCTCAGTGTTACGGAAAGTGCCACTCAGATGAGTCCTCTCTCCAACCTCCTTCCAACTAGAGTACCACCCCTTTATGCCTCTTTTGTACAAAACTCATACTACCATTGACCACCCTCATTTTATAGACGTAAAAAACTAGAGGCCCAGAGAGAAGAATGTCACTTGCTTTGCTCCAAGCCCGTTGGAGGTAGGGTCAGTCGCCCATTTCTTTGAGACCCGCGTCAACTGCAAGAACCAAATTCTCTTGAGAAGTCTGGGATCTTGAGAAGAAATTCTCTTGAGAAGTCCTGGTTTTGATCCAGAATCACCCAAGAACTGTTATTTCTGAATCATTTACCTTGAAATACTCTACTTCTTCTTTTACTTTACTTTTAGTTCTTCTTTACTTTACTTTTGTACTTTACTTTAGTTCTTCTATAAATTTGACCTCTATTATGGCAAGGAAAGCTTATGCTCACTCATAAGTCTTTGCCTGCTTAAGGAGATTCATGGACTCACATCTCCATGATGACTTAGCTTGGCATATGCGGCCTGCTGATGTATTGAAGGTACTTGGCTAATTACCTGCACATGTTCTGCTTTTTCTCCCAGTTAGGATTATGATAATGTCTTGTAACAGAGTTTGTAAAGGAGACAGGCCTTCTGGATAGTGATCTCTTTGTTTCTTCCTACAGTTCCTTATCAGCAGAATCCTTACAATCCCCGAGGCAGCTCCAATGTCATCCAGTGCTACCGCTGTGGAGACACCTGCAAAGGAGAAGTGGTCCGTGTCCACAACAACCACTTTCACATCAGATGCTTCACCTGCCAAGGTAGGAAGCCCAGGCTCCCAGCTCCCTTGTCAGATGGCAGGACATGCCACGGGGGCAGACAGAAAAAATACAGGCAGTTGAGCTACCTCTAGAGAAACTCTCCTTGAGCCTTTATGAGAATTCTCCCTTGGGCAGTAGGGAGGGAAGTGGGAGGGAAAATTCTGGACGTGGGGGAGGGAGGGAAGCTGGGGATCTCAGAATGGCAGTACTGACCCAGAAGGAAAAAAGCAATCCTGCAAGTTTTACCTAAACATCTGGAAAGTCTCCTGTCTCGTGCCTCTAAACCAATTTGAGAGTGAATGAAAGAGTGGGGCTCTGAGATGAGCCCCTCTTCTATGACCAGTCCTCAAAAGTGAGGCTTAACAGGGGAGAAGGTACATTATGACTTCACTGAGGTCTATAATTTGGGAGCAGATGGATGTTGGGTTACCTCTTAAAAACTACAAGTTCCTAAACAAGCAGGATAATTAGCAGCAAGAAGAAAGTAGGACTCTGCTGAAAGAGCCCGGGAGCCCTCTGGCCCGGGCAGGGCAGCCGTCCCTCCGCTGTGGTCCCTGACAGATGCCTCTCCAGCTTCCACCTTGAACTCCTCATCCAGGCTTTCTCTTCCCCAGAGCAGCCATTCTGAGGTTGGATGGCCCCGTGGGTTTGGGAAATGTTTGAGCCCAAACCAGTAATTTGCACCTGCTGGTTCTAGATTTGTTCTCACGAAGTGTGACAAGTCCTTCATGTGTGCTGTTCCCTGGGGCTGGTGCTCACATATTTGCAGCCAAGTCTCCCCAGCCCTGATGACATTGTGGGCCCTCACCTTGAGCTTCATGTGAAAGGATTCCAACTTGTATCATCTTGGAGTCTTCTTCCTTGATCCATTCTGGTCTGTCACTATCATTCTTAAAGCATAGTGCCCAGAACAGACCACGGTTCCCAAAGTCTGGCAGACAGAGCAAGGGCACCATTTCTGTTAATACGATTGACGTTGAATTGACCTCTGGAGGAGCTGCTTCACGGCATTGACATATATTGAATTTAAGATCAATTGAAACCTCAGATCTTTTCATTTTAATAACTGCGTCCAACCTCAGTCTTATGTGTCTGAGATTGACTTTCCCTGCCACTGAGAAAAATTCTGGATTTCTTTCTCAGGATCTCAATAGACTCTGCATTGAGCAAATAAATGACATATTCATATGTCCTAATGTTTTTAGTGGAAGCATATATGGAATATATTTTAATTGATGTGATTTGAATTCCAGATTGAGGCTTGGCACACCCCTTTAGTGTAAGCTGACTTGCAAAAGTGTCCTGGCGAGTGACCATTTCTACATCCCCAGAAGCTGGGGCAGGACAAAGGGTAAAAACAGTAGAATTGTTCTAAGGAGGCTTGAGCTAGGACTATGCAATCGTATTCTTAAGAAAGTCTATTAGTTACCCTCTGTTTAGACCAAAATTTAATAGTTTTAGGTAATTTTTTGTTTTAGCTCATGATTCTCTGGGTTGGCAGGGCAGTTCTCCCAGGCTGAGCTGGCTCTCCTTGTCTCCACTCACCTCATCATGATGCTATTGCTGGGTCAGCTGGCAGTGGTTGGCAGGCTGTCGGGCTGAGTGCCTGCATCTGGCTTCTTATCCTCCAGTAGGCTGGCTTGGACTCATTTGCATGGTGGTCTCAGAGTTCCAAGCACAGCCAGGGAGCAAGCTTCGGAAAGCAAGACCTTCTTAAGCCTCAGCTTATGTCATACCTGCCAATGTCCCATTGGCCAAAACAAGTCAAGGGGCTGACCCAGGTTCAAGATCATGAAGAAATAAACCTTGCCCTTGGTGGGAGGATTTGCAGACTTCAAGGGTGTGAATACAGAAAAAGGAAGAATTTGGACATTTTGACAACCAACCACAGGGAGGTTGGAAAACATCTTTTCATGGAGATTTTAAGGAAAAAAAAATAGATTTACTTTTCTGACTGTTTTCAATGTCAACTTGCTTAGAAGTGAAAGAAATGAAAGAATTTTTGTTTCCAGCAGTAACAGTTATAGTTACCTTAAATAGCTTCATTTGAAAAAATTAAAATCTCTATGAATATTTCTTACAGTTCTTTTACCATGTACTACTGTGCTGACATGAAATGAAAGAACCCACAGAGGTTAAAAAAAAAAACAAACAACAAAAGTTAAAGCAGAAATCGTCGTGTGCCTGCCAGTGCAAGATTTAATCCTGATAGTTTATGCTCAACCTTGGCAACCTTGAGCTTTTGCCTTGATGGCTGCATAGATGACAGAGACATAGGAAGTAGAGGCTAGAGCCTGGTCTAAGTAGGAATCTAATAGGAGACCTCTGAGTAAAGCTGAGATTTTCCCCTATGAAAATCTTACTTTCAATGTATGGGTGGGTGAGAAATAAACTGGAGGAGGAGACAGCAAGGAACCTTTTCTGTACCAACTTTGGCACTGGGTAGAGGAGAATAAAACTTGTATCAAAATGTCTACCCATAATCCACCCTTAACATGGGTTCATGTTCTATATTCATGCTATATATTTGGCATAAATATTTAAAAAGGTGAAACAGAATTTAAAAGAAAGTCATCCTATACTTGGCATATGGCAGAAACAAGTGATATTCCTCTTTGGAGGAACTCAGCTTTACTCCAGGACTCAAAGAACTCCCACATGTAACATTATTAGTCAAATGAGTAACTCACGGTCAAAAATACACAAATCATACTGGGGGTAGAACACCACAGAAACAAAGAAGAGAAGAATCAGAACCTCAAAGACTTCATAAGTTGGCATTTTCTGACATTATAAAATGACTACATACAATACATTTAAATAGGTAAGAAGAGCCATTTAAAAAAAGAACAAGAACAGAAACATTATAGCAAGTAGCACAGCAGATTTGAAAAAGAAACAAAATTTTAGAAATAAAAACAAATAATATTTGAAATTTAAAAGTCAGTGTATGGATTATATAGCAGATTAGATGTTGCTGAAGAAAGAATTAATGAACTGTAGGATTTAGCCAAGAAATAGATATATACATTTGGTTCAGAAATATAAGAAGGAGGTAAAAATAAAAGAGAAATTTATGCATGGAGAAAATAGTGGAAAGATTTGACATATATTCAATCAGAGTTCTAGAGATATGTAATTGAATACATGAGTGGGAGGATATTTGGAGACATGACAGCTGTGAATGTTCTAGAACCATGCAAAGACACAAATCCTTGGATCCAGAAACTTAATAAATCCCAGTAGAAAAATATAAAAGAACTCCACTTACATACATCATCAGAGTGAAACCACAGATCACCAAAGACAAAAGACAATTTTAAGAACAGCCAGAGAGAAGAAATAGATCATCTGCCTATGAATGGTAAGTAGACTGACAGCTGATCTGTTAGTAGCAACAAGGAAGCCAGAGACCAGTGGGGTAATACCTGTATATACTAAAAGAAATAACTGTAAATTTAGAATTATGTGTTCAGCAAAAATATTTCTCAAGAACCAAACAAACCTATAGCTAACATCATATTTAATGGTGAAAGACTGCCTGCGTGCCTGCCTTCCTGTAAAGTCAAAAGTAGCAAAAGGATGTTTGCTCTTACTACTTCCATTCAACTCTGTACCATAGGCTTCTATTGGGTCAGTTACGTAAGAAAATGAAGTAAAAGCCATCCAGATTGAAAAAGTAAGAGTAAAGTTATTTCTATATGCACATGACATGATCTCATAAATAGCAAATCCTAAGGAATGCACTAAAAAGCTATTAGAAATAACAACTAAGTTCATCAGGGTTTGGGGGGTGAAAGATCAGTATGCCAAAATCAATTGAATTTCTATACATTTACAATGAATGATCTGAAAATAAAATTAAGAAATGATTTATTTGTAATAGCATCAAAAATAAAATACATAGGAATAAATTTAACGAAAGTATAAAATTTATACTCTGAAAAGAAATATTAAAGAAGATCTAAATAAATGAAATCTCGTGTTCATGGATCAGAAGTCTTAATATTGTCAAGATGGCAGTATTCTTCAGACTAACCCACAGATCTGATGCTCTCTTACTCAGCTCAGGTTTCCACAATAAAATACTGTAGGTTGAGTAGCTTGAACAGAAATTTATCTTATCACAGTTCCAGAGGCCGGAAGTCCAAGATCAAGGTGTCAGCATGGTTGGGTTCTGGTGAGAGTTCCCTTCTTGGCTTGCAGATAGCCATCTTCTTTCTGTGCTCTCACATGTCAGAAAGAGAAAGAGAAAGAGAGAGGGAGAGAGAGATGGCAAGCTGGCTGGTGTCTCTTCTAAAAAGGGCACTAATCTCATGATAAGGGTCCCACCCTTATAACCTCATCTAAACCTAAGTATCTCCTCAAGGCCCCTACACAAATACCATGACACTGGGAGTTAGGGCTTCAAAATACAAATCTGGGGCAGAACAATATTCTGTTCATAGCGTATACAATGCCCATAAAAATCTCAGCTGACTTCCTTGAAGAAATTGACAAGCTGATTGTGAGATTAATATGGAATTGCAGAGGACATAGAGTAGCCAAAGCATTTCTGGAAAAAAAAAAAAAGAACAAAGCTGGAGGACTCAAACTTCCCATTTTCAAAACTTACTACAAAGCTACAGTAGATAAGACAATGTGGTATTAGCACATGAATAGACATATAGATCAATAGAATTGAGAGAGCAGAAATAAACCCTTAGGTTTATGGTCAGGTGATTGTCAGCAAAGCTACCAAGACAATTCTATGGGGAAAGAAGAGTCTTCAACAAATGGTGCTAGGAAAACTGGACATACATATGTAAAAAAACAACCAAAAAAATGAAGTTGGATTCCTTCCTCACACCATACATAATAATTAGCTCAAAATAAGTCAAAAACCTACCTGTAAGAGCTGAAACTACAAAACTCTCAGGAGAAAATACAAGAGTAAGTCTTTGTGACCTTGAGTTAGTCAAAGACTTCTTGGCTTGGATACCAGAAGCACAAACAACAGAAGAAAAATAGATGAATTAGGTGTCATCAAAATTAAACACTTCTTTGTGCTTCAAATATACCATCAAGAATGTAAAAAGGCAACCCACTGAATGGGAAAGGAAATTTGCAAAACATAATCTGGTAAATAACTTGTATCTAAACTATATAAAATATTCTTACAACTTACAAATAATCCGATTTCGAAATGGGCAAAGGTTCCAAAGAGACGTTTCTCCAAAGAAGTTTTACACACGTCCAGCAAACACATGGAAAAAATGTTCGATAGCATTAGCCATCTGAGAATGCACATCAAACCACAAGGAGACACATGTCATACCCACAAGATCGGCCATCTTCAAAAAGACAGAGAATCCGACAAGCGTTGGCAAGAATGTGGAGTAATTGGAACCCTCACACACTGCTGGTGGGAATGCAAAGTGCACAGCTGCTGTGGAAAACCGTCTTGCATTTCCTCTAGGAGTTCAATGTAGAGTTACCCTATGACTTAACAATTTCAAAGTCATAAGATGTATGCTTAAGAAAAACGAAAACACATGTCCACGCAAACACTTGTGCATGACTGTTCACAGCACTATTATTCATCAAGTCAAAAATTGGAAACAAATCAAATATCTATCAACCAATGAACAGATAAATAAAATACAGTGGAATATTTTGTAGCAATACATCTGCATGGATGAACCCTGAAAACACAAATGGCCCATAAACATATAAGAAGATTCTCAATTTCATTAATAAGCAGGGAAGTGAAATTTAAAATCACAATAAGATGGGGAGCCTGGGTGACTCAGTCAGTTGAGCGGCTGACTCTTGATTTCAGCTTGGGTCATGGTCTCAGAGTCATGAGATTGAGCCCCAAGTCGGGCTCGCAATGAGCATGGAGGCTGCTGGGGTTTCTTTCTCCCTCTCTCTCTTTCCCTACCTTCGCCCCCCGGCACCCCTGCTTGTGCACATGCACACATGTGTGCTCCCACTTGGAAGGAAGGAAGGAAGGAAAGGAGGGAGGGAGAGAGAAAGAAAGAAAGAAAAGAAGAAAAGGAAAGGGAAGGGGAGGGGAAGGGGAGAGGAGGGGAGGGAGAAAAGAAAGAGTGTGTTTTTAAAAATTAATTAATTACATAAAATCACAATAAGATGACATTTTACAGCCACTAGGTTGACCATATATTATCAGCTTCTAATGATGATATGGATCGGTGGAAACTGCTGGTGGGAAAGCAAATGGGAAAAACTCTTTGGAAAACTACGAGGCTTCACCTCACAGGTACAAGAATGCCCAAAGCAGCATTTCCATAAAAGAAAAAAAAAATTGCAAACAGCTCAAATGTCCTTCGACAGATCGCTTGTGATACAGACCATGGGATACAGCAGAAAAACCCAGTTATGGGCATCGACCTGGACGCATCTCCAGCACATCATCCTGAAAGTACGAAGCAAGCGCGGAAGAATAAATGCAGTGGGGTTCCACGAACATAAAGCTCAAAAAAGGCAAAACTAAACAAGGCATTATTTGTGGATACATCAGAGGTGGTCAAAGTAGAAAGAAAAGCAAGAGAATAACAAACAACAGTTAGGGACAACATGGGGAAGGGGATGCTTTCGGGAGATGCAAACAAGCTTCCGAGGCACCGGGAATGTTCTGTTTCATAGAGTTGGAAGCGGGTAGCTGGAAGTGTATTTTATTCTTCTTCTTTAAACCGTGTTTGTATATTTACTCCTTTTTCTGTATGTGTAATGTAGTTCACAGTTAAACATTTAAATGTTAAATGGATCGCCCTCAGGAACCCTTCTAAAGCTTTGGTTTTGAAAACTCCCTCTCATTTGCAAAGTTGAAAACCAACAGAATCCTATGGGAGACCCGTGTACTCACGGGTCTCCGTGTGTTCTCAGTTTCTTCTTCTTCATTTCACAAATGAGGCAGCTGAGCTTGAGAGAGGTGGGGTAACTTTTTCAAAGCCACACGGCACCTGAGTGGTAGAACAGAAATATGGACCACGGTCTAGTGACCCGCAACACGGTCAGTCCATTTTCCCCTGAAATGCACTATGACTGTGGGCAAGGTCTCTTTCTGGGCATCTTTTAACAATGAACACTCATTCTGGATTTTCTCAAAGCGATTCTGATTTCTCATATTCTGTCCCACTGTCAAACCCATTGATCTGCTTTTTTTTTTTCTCGTTAATAGACTTCATTTTTTTGATTCACAGAATAACGTCTGCCCTGAGTGTGTTAACTTCCGCATCAGTTCCATGCTGCAGACCCTCTCCAAGGTCTTTCCTGTTATTTGGATGTCGGGCTCTGCTCAGCCTCAGACACATCTGTCGTGCTGTCCAGCTTGCCTTCCATCCCTGTGCTCCCCACTGTATTTCCAGGAACCCCCTGAGATTCTTATCAACCTTTACATCCTTTCTACCAAAAACTTCCTCCTGCAGCTCCTTGGGGAAAACGGAAGAACCGATTGTTCCAAGTTTTCTTACTGCCTCCTGGGTTTGTCCACTGGGAGAGGTGGCTCTGGGGGTGGAGCTGGCCGGGGAAACAAAGGGGAGAAAAGAAGGAAAAAAACAGGAGCTGTTTCCAATGAGGTCGTAGGCCATGACCTCACTAATTCCATAGCCATGAAGTCAATCGATCTGCCACCTGCTCGCCCCAGAACGCCCTGTACCCTGGCCCAGCCTTCTCTTGAGGCATTGTTTGCTGTGAAGAATTTTCACGAAGCCTAGTAGAAGATCAACCCTCCTGCCATCAACCACCGCCACCCCCTGCGCAAATAGGCCCTGCTTCTCTGCAGGCAGGGGTGGGCTCCAGAGCCCGCCAGCCCCACCTCGTACTGAGTTTAAAATGTTTAGGCCCCTGGTAGGCCCCGAAAGGAGCAATGCTTCTCCTAGACTCATGGCATGCTGGTGTCAGAAGAAAAGCTTAGGTCACTTTTTAATCCACCTTCTTCATTGTACATGCATGTGAACAGAGACCAAGTTCATTGTCAGCCAGAGAGTTAGCGGCAGTGACAAACCCAGAGCCCGGGTGGTCCAGTTCGCAGACCATCATGACTCCCACTGTGCTGCACAGTCCCCCTAATGCTCTGACCTCTGGGGCTGCCCTCTTGCTCACTCATCCTGGCCCCATAAGCCTGCCTCTGGCCTGCAAGGTGAACACACACTTGTGCCACGTATCTCTCTTTAACCTGACTGCTTTTGCATGACAAGTCTCCCTATGAACAAGGAGACAGTATTTGCTGGGGTAGCCTCACCCAACCCAGGCCAGGTCCCCACAATTACAGGCTTGGAATTCTATCTTATTGGTTTCCACACCATTGATCATGCCTCAGAAAGCTGATCCATGCTCACCAAGACCTCAGGAAACCAATGTATAAAATCAGAGTTCCCTTTTATTAATGGAAAGATGTCATTCTCTGTTGTGGTAGTTTGCATTGCCCTGACCAGCTTCTCTCCCAAAAGTCTACCTAGTAAGTCAAACTGTAAGTCACGTAGTGAATACAGACTCAGAACAAGGGGGCTGGTCAAAGGGTTGGAATGGGCTCCCCAATGGCCTTCCCTTGATGGCTGGCCAGCCTCTTCTGGGCTGCCACCCCTGCTTTAGCCAGATCAATACATTCAGCAGTTCTGGTGGCCCTAAAAGCCATTCAATCTCTTGGAAGAAACTTTGCCTCTTTCTGTCCTTCCCCTTAGGTGTGGATTTCGTAACTTAACCCTCGGAGGGAAATCTCACTTCCCACGTTTCTAAGTCCTTTGGAGGTAGGGAGTCCTACATGCTTTGGTTGTTCAAGCACCTATAACTGCCTCCACCTACTCCTCTGTTATCGGCCCTATGCATCTTCGTATTGTCCGCAAGGATATCCCATAAGACCTGGTGACATACGTCGTCTGTCTGTACAAAAGCTAGCAATGCAGTTGGTCATTTTTGCAACTGGGTGATGGGACATCATTATAACCTTCTCTCTTCTTTTGTTTATGTCAGAGAGTTTCAAAATATTTTTTTAAGGTTTTGAAAAACTAGGAGAAAAACCATCCATGGCTCCTCGATATCCCACAAAGCCTAAACTTCTTAAGCTGGACTCAGGCTCTCCTCCAATAGGCCTGTCAATGTCTTCCTGTTATTACTGCCCTCCACACCCTAAAAATACCACACCTCCACACAGATATCACTTGCAACTTCCTGCTTGTGTGCTTTAGCTCATTTTCCACCTTCAGGGTTCAACTTAAGTGCCGCCTCCTCCAAGAAGCCTACCATGATCCCTCCCCCACAACATTGCTCCCTTTTCCTCCCCACTCCTGGCACTTGCTGCCCGCTCCAGCCCATGGCCTGTTGCCCATGATGTATGTTCTATAAGGTCGTCTTTTGGCATATACTGTTAGCTCTTCACGGTTCAGGGATTGCGTTTTATCATTCTTGCCTTGGAACAGACCAACTCTTTATGTCTATGGTGAGAGCAGATTATAAATTTCCAACCATTCATCCCATTGCCATCCTAAATTGTCTTCACCTTGCACAGAATCATACACAGGGAAATTGCCCAGGGACATTTTAACTGATCTTATCCAATTCATGAGATGGTATGGCCTTGTGTGAGCCACGCAGCCCGAAACTTCCATCTGTGCACGAGAGGGGGTACGACCTCCGTGGTCTCATCTGAATCAGCTGCGGAGTGCGCCAAAACGCAAATCCCTGGGGCCTTGCTCCCAGGGGGTCTGATTCAGGCCCAGGCATCAGCCTCTTAAGGAGCCCGTGGTTTCTTCCAATGCAAAGGGTCTTCAGGACACACTTTAAGGAAAACTAGCCCCACGAGGTCCTATGTGCCACCATTTTGGGGCCACTCATGACCAAATCACATGCCAGCCTTGTCCCCTGCGAGAACCTCATGCTGGCCAACCTTCCCTGGACTCACCCTGCCCTCGATCTTCTCTTTGTGCCCCGCAGTATGTGGCTGCGGCCTGGCCCAGTCGGGCTTCTTCTTCAAGAACCAGGAGTACATCTGCACCCAGGACTACCAGCAGCTCTACGGCACCCGCTGCGACAGCTGTAGGGACTTCATCACCGGCGAGGTCATCTCCGCCCTGGGCCGCACCTACCACCCCAAGTGCTTCGTGTGCAGCTTGTGCAGGTGAGCAGGTGGGGGAGGCCGGCCCCTCCACCTGGGCCCCGTGGCGGTCTGGGGGCTCCCAGGGCTGGATGCTGGACACTTGGATTTCTAGACTGTCCTGGGCAGAACGATGTGACAGCAGCCAAATCCTGTCTGTCAGAGGTGGTCTCCTGCGAAACACTAGTTTGCCTAGAGATCCAGACAGAGTGAGGACCTGAGCCCCCGCCCTCAGCCTCCCATTTCCCGTCAGAAGTCCTCAGAGGAACTACCGAGTACCCTGAACCCATTCTGGAAACCGGGCAACTGGGCCAGCTCCCACCCCCTCAGCCACATGTAGTGTAGAGATATGTTTGTAGCCTTCCCCCATGACCCTGGCAAGTGATGCCCTCTCTATAAGCCTCAGCTTCTTCATCGGTAAAATGGGCATCAAAACCATTGCTGCATTGTTGGCTTTTTAAGAAGAATAATGAGATGGCATTTGCAAAGACTGTAGCTCAGTGACGGGGATGTAATTGTGTCTGCTTTTGCTGTTCTTGTCATTATATGACAACCATCTAGCCTCTCAGGCAAGCTGGTAGGCGATGGGAAGTTCACCCTTCCCTCCCCCTCATGCCCTGTGCCCCGGTTCCTTGTTACCTCAGCAGACATATGTGAAGGGTCCACCGTGTGCCAAGCACTGCATTAAGGAGATGCAAAAAATAAAGGAGGCCTCAGCCTTGCCCACAAATACATTAAAATTTAATGGACTGTTCTGATTAAGTCATATGTAGAAACGTGGTTTGGAATAAATGTATGCTTTCTTTAATTAGGAAAGGAATTTATGGATTATTCTCCCCATAAAATAACTACCTGTTAGTTACCAGTTAGGGTTCCTGCTGAGACTGATGACACAGTGTACAAGAAAATAAAATCACCCAGTGGAATTCATTCACTCATCCATCTCCTAAAACGTGGGTGCTGGACCCCAGAATCCCAGACCCACTGGAGGCTAGCACAGTAAGGTTCATATGTTGGTTTTTGTTGTTGTTGTTGTTGTTGTTTTTGAGGAATTTATTTAGTTATTTGACAGACAGAGAGAGAGAGGAAGGAGAAACAGGCTCCCCGCTGAGCAGGGAGCCCGATGTAGGACTCAATCCCAGGACCCCGAGATCATGACCTGAGCCGAACGCAATTGCTTAACCAACTGAGCCACCCAGGTGTCCCGGGTCCAGACAGTTTAAAGTGAAGTTTCTGTCAAGCCCCACACAGAGGCAGTGCCCCCTCAGCATCATGCTGTGTCCTTTACCAGAAGTCAGTATCTGGGCCTCGATGAGAACCCCGCTCCCCCAGCTCACCCCAGCACTCCCTCCCATGCCCTGCGTTGCAAATACAAGGGCAGGGGAGCCCCCGGAAGCCTATGTCCGGGGCTGCCGTCAGAGTCTGTGTGATGGGCTCTCCCAGACTTCATGCGTGAGAGCCCCTGAACGATGGGCTTGATGCTGCCGGGGACTCAATGTACAGCTCATCTTTGTTAGGGAGGCAGGACACGGACAAGTTCGAGACCTCTGAACTCTGAAACCCAAACTGCACCATCGCAGAGGAGAGGAAGAGGTTATTGGTGGATTTCTAAAGGTCCTGGCTAGTGAAAGGAAGACATTTTGGTGAATTTAGGAGTTGAATGAGTTCTTCTTGATATTTGGGGATAGAGGAGGTTGGGATGGAAAAAAGTCTTTCTGGGAAGGAGGGGCAACTCTGAGAGGAATTATTAACCAATTCGTTCACAGATGAGAAATGTGAGCTTCACTAAGTGTCATGATTGGCCTGGTGTTAGTCCTATCAGTGGTCCAAGTGGGCCTCCAGTTCCAGTCGTGGTCCCAACTGAGTTGGTTCAGCCAGTCTGGCACCGTGAACAGCACTTGAATTTACCTTGTCTAATAGAAGGCAGGCTGCTTGTGGTGCCAGCGAGCTTCGAGCCCATCTTCTGTCAGCTCACCAATAGACATGGAATCCCTCTAGAGAAGAGGTGTTGAATTTCTCTTCCATCTCCCTTGCAGGAAGCCTTTCCCCATTGGAGACAAGGTGACCTTCAGTGGGAAGGAATGCGTGTGTCAGACATGCTCCCAGTCCATGACCAGCAGTAAGCCCATCAAGATCCGTGGACCAAGCCGTGAGTGCTCCCCCCAGGCACCTCCGTGTCTGTGGGCCATGCATCCTAGGGCTCCCTGTCCCAGCTCCGGCATCCGTTCCTGCAGGCCTGGAGGGAAGTGGGGGAGGTTTCCACCCTGGAGGACTCCTGAAGCCTGACCCAGTTGGCATTCAGCCCAGACTCACCAGCTTCCTTAAGCAGAAATGCAGGGAAAGCAGGCTGCTGACTAGAAACAGTGACAACCTGTACCATGCTTGGCCGCTTGGGTGGGGCTCTTCTGGGATGAGCTAGGCCCCCCATCTCATCTCCCTTCTGGATCTGTGTTCCTCAGGGCACCCGAACAGGGCTGAAGAAGCCACCAAGGGTTCTCAATTTCTACAAATGCCACTAAAAAGTATACACAGACACATCTTAAAAAGGAGAAATATGGGAGCAAACCACAAGGGATGGGCTAGTGTCTCTTAGAAAGTGTCCCAGGGAAACCTTCACTGCATAATGCTAAACATACAAATTTTTAGGCCCACTTTGGACTTCTTTTTTTTTTAATTTTCTTTAATTTTTTTTTTTTAGATTTTATTTATTTACTTGACAGAGAGAAAGCGAGAGAGAGAGAGAGAGAGCACAAGCCGGGGCAGGGGGGCAGGGAGGGGCAGAGGGAAAAGCAGAAAAGCAGACTCCCTGCTGAGCAGGGAACCCGATGTGGGGCTCGACCCCAGGCCTCTGAGATCATGATCTGAGCTGAAGACAGACACTTAACCCACTGAGCCACCCAGGCACCCCCCAACTTTGGACTTCTAAGAAAGGAACCTAGAAGTCTGCATTCTTAATAAGCTTCCTAGGTGATGCATTTGCTGCTCCTAAGACTGAGAACCAGTGTTTAGAGATGAAGGGAACATCTACAACACCAGAGTGAATGTTATATTTCATCAACAAACTATAGATTTGGGGGGAAACTGAGGCTCAGGAGTGCACCTCAGAACAGTCATTTGAATCCGTGGAACATCATTCCACTCAATGTGTCTAGTGGTAAGATGTCTAAATCACTGGTCCCAGATGCCTTCGATGGGCTGCTGATGGCAGGTGCCACCCACACAAGACCCTGGCTCCCGGGGCTTGCCGCAAGCCACGCTAGGCTCGGGGGTTCTTTCCCATTACATGACAGCCCGACCGGCCCCACAGCAAAATCAATGAAAGTCCATTAGCTGCCTGCATGTGGGCGCGGGCACCGAGAGAGTCAGCCGGCCAGGGCTGCATGCTTCCGAGGGGCTGAAACAGAACACCCCGAGTCAGCAGGGCTGGGCCCCAAGGGGCTCCATCAGAGCCTGCTGTGGGGAGCTGGGGAGAAAGACGATGGGAAGGCTTCCTCCCTCGCCCTTCCTTCCTCCCGATCTAATCAGATCTGCTCGCAGAATGCTCAGAACACTTCCTTCGGCATCCTTGGTGACATTCAAGAAGACTTTGCTGGTCTGAGCAGGTTCCCATCTCAAGGTGCCTGAGTGCACACACTGTTCTCTTTCATGATTCCTTGAAAGCCTCGTGCAGGATGACAGCAGGGCTGGAGGGCTGGGATGCGGGGCCACGGCCCTGTGACTGATGCTGTGAAGGTGCCCAGAGACCAGCAGGACGGCGTGTGAGGCAGTAGAGAGAGGCAGGCTGGGGCCAGGAGCGTGAGCCTTGCTGGGGCTCCGTTTACCCAGCTCTGTGGAAAGCAACTGTGTTAGTATCCAGGAGCCAGACTAGCATACGCTGTGGTGTGTAATATGTTCTCTGACTATAAAGTGAGGATGCTGTGGACTTGGAGATTTAATCTGGAAAGCACACCAAAGAGAGAGTATGATTCCTGAATCTGTTACTTCTCTTGGCTCGTGCTGCGTTACTATACGCATCAGGGACCTCGGAGAGGTGGGACAGTTCCTTGGCTGAGTGTGGGAATCCTGTATGCGAGCGTGTCCTTGAGGAGAGGTGCTAAATGTCTCCACCATAATTCTGCAAGTCCAAAAGCAGAGGAAGGTGAAGAAGAGTGAATAATGAGAAGCAAGTGTGCGTATAAGCAGTCTCCAGGGGGAGGACCCGGGATCGTGGCTCATCTTGTTACTCATAAAGCAAAGACTGCGAGCTGTGGATCTACGGGGAATATGTTTCATGGAAGTGTTTTCTCCCGAAAGGTGGTCACTGTCCATGCTAAAAGATAACTAGAGGGGGTGCTGGGAGGTCTGCTGAGTTCCCAAAAGAGAGACGGAACCAAAACCAGATTCAAAAGAGGACTGAGATGAAGAATGTATCATGGAAAAAGAAAAAGGAGGAGGAAAAACCTGATGTATTTTTATCTATAGGGGTGTGACCTTTCATCCCTGGAGGGTTCTGGAACAGCAGGAGCAGTTATCTACTCAAAATAGATCAAGAAGAAGACTCGGGAACTATCAAGAAAAAAAATAACTTTTTATAAAAATAAGCGTCTCCTCACCATCCTCACTAAGAGGAATCAGCAGTGGGAGCAACATCAGCTTCACTATCACACCTGTCACCACCATCACCACCACCACCATCACCACTGTCACCATCACAACTGTCACCACCATCACTCCCAGCACCAGCACTACCATCACAGTTATCACCACCACCACCATCACCATCACAATGGTCACCACCATCACTACCAACACTAGCACCACCATCAACATCACAACTCTCACCACCACTACCACCATCCCCATCACCACCATCACAACTGTCACCGCCATCACTACCAACACCAACACCACCATCATAATTGTCACCATCACCATCACCACCATTACCATCACCGCTGTCACCACACTGTCACCATCACCATCACAACTGTCACCATCACCACCACCGTCACCATCACCACCACCACCACCACTGTCACCATCACAACTGTCACCGCCATCACTCCCAACACCAGCACTACCATCACAGTTGTCACCACCACCACCACCATCACCATCACAACGGTCACCACCATCACCACCACCACCAATACCACCATCACCATCATCACCGCTGCTAACACTGATTGACTGTTACTATTGTCAGGCAATGCACTAAGTTTTCTTTATATCTACACATAATATCTCATTATAGTTCTATGAGGGAGAGAAAAGTAATTGTTTTATAAATGAGAAAACTGAGACCCAAAGAGTGTAAATGACTTGCCCAGAGTCACACAAATAGTAAGTAATGAAACCGGAATGTGGGACCAGGCCATCCGGCCCTGGGGCCTCTTCCCTTCACACCCTATACCAGAGATATGACTGGCTAACAGGGAAGGGTCATGTCTTCCTGGACTCGTTATCTAAAGCAAGGAATGCTTTGACTTGCTATGACTCACAAAACCCACTCGTTTTTGTTGATCTAGATGGAATGTATGACACAGTCAAGAAAAGCTAAAAATGGCTGCCTGCAGTCTCTAGAGACCTCAGGAGACTGAGGGACTTGGGGGAACAGGTGGTAGACTCATACTTTCTGCCAGCTGAAGGTTGTAATCTTGGAAGAGAGAGGAGCATACGAGGAGCGGACAGCTGGCTGCACAGCAACCACCGCGGGGCAGGGGGTCGCTCTCCTGACTGTGCCTGTTTGTTGTACCAGACTCACGGGCTCCCGGCTGGCGCCTGAAGCTCCACCAGGGGTCAAGGCTGAGAGGAGGAGGAAGAAGAAGGAGAAAAGGGTCTTGATCAATCTGAGGACCCGCGGTATAACATGAAAAGGAAAACCACCTAGAGGAGGCATCCCAGAATCCTCAGGGAATCCGCAGGCCTTCCCGGCAACAGGAAAATTCTCCTGGCCTCAGACCAGAGACAGGACCAAGCACAGAATATGGGTCAGAAACACAAGAACGTGAAGTAAGGATGACAGCGACCATTCATTGAGCTCGCGTGTTGAGTCCTTACAGGCCTGAAAGTAGCGCATCTTCACACCAGTGCGGTAAGAGAAACAGATGAGGAAGCAGGGGCTTCGAGGTCACACAACCAGTCCCTGAGGGGGCTGGGCTTGTGCCCTCAGCCCGCCTCTCACCATTCACTCTGTCCTCCTGGCCCAGCCTCTAACCACGCCCCTGCACGGCCTCCTGAATTTTGACTCAAGTTACCACGTCCATCGCAGACACATCACAGCAACTCAAGGAGATGGGACTCAGGACTAGAATGTGGCCGCATAGGATGCAGATATTCAAATGAGATCTATTGGAGAGACGGGGCTTTGTGTTGTTGGCTCTAATACACCAAGTCCATGGAGTCAACAATGAAGTTGGTGGGAGGATGACCCCATCAAGCAAGGAAAAGTGACGTGTAAAGAAGGAGGGAGAAGAGAGAAACTGCAGTTGTCTCTAAATATTTGAAGGCAATGTCAGGAGGCAAAGGAGGTAGTTCTTATTGCATAAAATAAGGGACATCACAAGGAGTCAGGTCTCAGCTCCATATAAAGAAGGCAGTCATGGGGCACCTGCGTGGCTCTGTCAGTTAAGGTCTGGCTCTTCTTTTCAGCTCAAGCCATGATCTCAGGGCTGTGAGATCAAATCCCACACCCAGCATGGAGCTTGCTTGGGATTCTCTCTCCCTTTCCCTCTCCCCCTCTCCCCCACTCACACATGCTCTCTCACTCTCTCTCTCTCTCTAAAAAAAAAAAAAAAGGGCAATCAGGACAAGAAATGACAAGTGTTGGTGAGGATGTGGATTGGTGCAGCCCATGTGGGAAACAGTATGAAGGTTCCTAAAAAAAAAAAACTAAAAATAGGGGCGCCTGGGTGGCTCAGTGGGTTAAAGCCTTTGCCTTTGGCTCCGGTCAAGATCCCAGGGTCCTGGGATAGAGCCCCACATTGGGCTCTCTGCTCAGTGGGGAACCTGCTTCCCCCTTCTCTCCCTCTGCCTGCCTCTCTGCCTACTTTTGATCTCTGTCTGTCAAATAAATAAATAAAATCTTAAAAAAAAAACTAAAAATAGAAATGTCATACAATCCAGTAATTCCACTGTTGGACATTTTCCCAAAGAAAACAAAAATCCTAGTTTAAAAAGACATAGGCACCCACCCGTATGTTTATTGCAGTATTGTTTACAATAGCCAAGATATGGAAATGACCCAAATACCTATCAATTGATGTATGGATAAAGATGTGGCAGATATATATCCTGGAATATTACTCAGTCACAAAAAAGAATGAAATCTTGCCATTTGCAACAATGTGGATGGACCTAGAGAGTATTATGCTAAGTGAAATAAGTCAGAGAAAGAAAAATACTGTATGATTCCCCATATATGTAGAATCTCAAAAACAAAATAAATGAACAAACAAACCAAAAAAACAGAAACAGACCCACAAATACAGAGAACAAACCGATGGTTACCAGAGGTGAAGGGGAGGAGGGATGAGCAAAAATGGGTGAAGGGGAGTGGGAGGCGCAGGCTTCCAGTTATGCGATGGGTAGGTGATGGGGATGAAAGGCACAGCATGGGGAACGTGGCCAGTGACACGATAACAGCAGTGTGTGGGGACAGATGGGAGCTACCCTTGTGCTCAGTATAGCATGAGGCGTAGAGTTATTGAGTCACTATCGTACGCCTGAGACTGATGTAACAGTGTGTGTCAGCGACACTTCAGTTAAAAAAAAAAATCAGATAGGAAATTAAAAATGGAGTTACAAAACAAAAAAGAATAAACCTTTATAGGATACATATTTTTTTAAAAAATGAAAATGAAAAAAAAAAAAAAAAGAACGCACTTGTGACTATTTTGCCTGTCCAAAGGCAAAGGGGGCTTCCTCCATAGGGGGTGAGCTTCCTACCTCTGGAGTCAGTTAAGCAGAGGACGGTGCCTGCCTGTCAAGAATGTTGTAGGTTCCTGCATTAGGTGGGACTGTGACTAAGGGTTCTGTGAACCCTGCGCCCCTGTGGAATTATCTATCAAGGAGGCCCCAGACACAGGTTCAGTATGCGGGGTTCAGTCCTTGACCTCTGAGCCCTCAAGTTCTTCTGTGCTGGGCATGCGCGAGTCATGTCTATAAAAGGAGAAGGGGTGCCTGATAATCTCTAAACGATTACATTCTAAAGCCTGCGATTATTGGGATGCAGGTGGGTAGACTTTTTCCGGAGGAGTGAGGAAGGAAAAGAAATCCCAAAGCTGTTCTCCCAGCCCCCATCTGAAGGCCTGGGGCTCGAAGCATTTTGCAATGTGAGCCCCTCCCACCCCAGCCTGTGCTAAGGGATGTTCAAAAGGTGCTAGGGAGGGGCGCCTGTGTGGTTCAGTGGTTAAACCACTACCTTTATCCTGGGTCATGATCCCAGGGTCCTAGGATCGAACCCTGCCTGGGAGAGCCTGCTTCTCCCTGTTGCTCTGCCTACTTGTGCTCTTTCTCTGTCTGTCAAATAAATAATAAAATATCTTTTAAGAAAAGAAAGAAAGGCTAGGGAGCCAAGAGGCGGGAACCGTGGGAGCTGCCTCCTCCAAGCACTTCAGTGGGGCTCAGACCCTCCCCAAAGTCAGCTGGGCACACCCCCTTCCTCAACAGGCCGCTTCATCTTCTCTCCCAGGCCTGGCTCCCAGCTGGACAGGAGGGCTTCCAGCCAGCCTCTCCCAACTTGATCTGCAGTTTCTCTTCCCCCCACCACTCCGAAGTACACATCTGTCTGGTGGTGCCAATAGAGAGGCTCGTCCTCTGGCAAACTTTGTCCCATGACCCTTTCCCCCTTCAGAGTGGGCCTGCATTCCCAGCATCTCCCAAGCACCTTGGATGCTGGCTCCCTTTCCTGCCTCCCCAGACAGGGCTTGAGCAACAGGCAGAGGGCCAGCCGCCACATTCTGGGCCCCTGGCGCGCGTTCCAGGGTGATGAGGATGGGGAGTGAGAACAGCCCCTGGTTGGGGTCGGTCTTACCAGACTCTAACCCTTGGCGAGGAGAATGTTCCGCATACTATAAGCATGTTGGGGCGGGGGCAGGCACAGAAAACTCTGTCCTCCTGGGTGCTACAAGGTCCTCTCCTTCATGCTCATCCAGTTCCTACTATGTGTTGAGCACAGCACAGAGAGTGCATTTATGCACAAAACACAGACAGGGTCCTTGTCATGGAGCATACGGTCCAAGAGCAGGAAAAAATTAGATACTGAGCTTATCCCCTGCACTGTGCTGCTCGACTTGACTCTGCTTGGAGACCTTCAGTAGGTCTGCAGGCTCCCAGGTGCTGCTGATGCGACCGGTGCCCAGGCCACAAACAGTAGTGCGCTTAGTTAGCTATTTGAGGGTAGGCCAGACGCGGGACAGGGTCCGTCTGTGAGGGGTGAAGAGTGGTCAGGATGACAGAGAGCTTTCTGGAGGAATCCTAGCATGTCTTTCTTTCTCCCTCACATCCAGTCCTCCTGTCCAGCAGCCTGGGCTCTGGGGCCCTTGCTTCCACCTGGTAGAGCTCAGGCAGGTGCCCAGGCCAAGCTGGGAGCTGCTATGGGAAGGCCGCTTTTCAGGGAGGGGTTTCCATCCCCGGGACTGAGAGGACGGCAGAGATCATGGGCCCTGGGATGTTCTGCTCAGTGGCGTCCCCTTGTCTTTGCAGACTGCGCTGGGTGCAAAGAGGAGATCAAGCATGGCCAGTCCCTCCTGGCGCTGGACAAGCAATGGCACGTCAGCTGCTTCAAGTGCCAGACCTGCAGCGTGATCCTTACCGGGGAGTACATCAGCAAGTGGGTGTCTCCCCCTCCCTCATCCCTGCCCGGCTTCCAAGACCCCTGCATTCCACTGGCCTGCCCCAGGGGACCCTCGCCTGGATCTCCCCTGGGCCACCTCCTTCCACTTGGCCTCCAGCCACCACACTCCCACAGCCACAAAGAAGAGCTCCCCAGCCTCCGGGCCCTTGCATGCTGCTTCCTCTCCCTGAGATGCTCTTCATGCCATTGCCACGTTTGCTCCTCCCCTCCCTCTGGTCTCTGTGTGCAGCCAGCCGCTCTCCGGAGGTCTCCTATCGTCCCTGCTGCCTCCGCTCCCCCAACCCCAGCCCTCTCGGGGTCTGTTCCCTTCATGCAGGCTCACACCATTTGCAATCATACTCTCATCCATGTTAACTTCTGACAACGACGATAACCCCAGCTACCGTTCACCAAGGGTTTATGATGTACAAAGGATATTCTAATGGCCGTGGAAGGGTTATCACGTTAAATCCCACGATTCACCGTCCCCCCCCTCCCGTGAGGCGTCTATCTCCATTTTAAAAACTGTAAAAGCTGAGGCTTGAGGAAGTAAGTAACTTGCTCTGTGATGATATTTAATGTCGTCCTCACCTAGGCGGGGCGTCTGTTTTACCGGCTGTTGCCGTTAGCACGATGCCCATCCCTGGCCAACAATGCAGTTGTTGAATGAATTGAATTGAGATGAGATACAAGGGACACGGGAAGCTATCAGCAGAGAGGACATCACCCCCCGGGGCTGCACTGGGTCCCACAGGAGGAGCCCCGCCCCCCCCTTACCTCCAGACTCTAATGACCACATTCCCAAAATCAGGAACCGGAAAGAAGTTGATGGCCACAGCCCCTCACTGCGCCGATGCTGTCTGAGCCAGACACTGCTGAGGCGCGGGCTGACCCACAGCCCGGAGAGAGCAAGCACGTAAAACCGTAGCGTGTCTGGGTTTCTCTGTCAGGAGAGCTATTGTCTAACAAGGGAGATAAACTAGATACATAAAAAATTACGGCACCAGGACTTAGGTGATGGGGAGCTCAAAGGTTTTGTTCTTTCAGACCCTTTGGATTATAAGCAACAGAAAACCCAGTTCAAACCCAACTTAAGCAAAAATGAGTTTATTGGCTCAGAAATGGGAAGGCCAGAGGCCTGCTGACTTCCAGCACGGCTGAATCCAGGGGCTTAAAGATGTTACTGGCACTGCGGAGGTCTCTCTCTCTCTCTCTCCCCTCCTACCCACCCCTCAGCTCTCCCTTCCTCTGTGTTGGATTTATTCTCAAATAAGCCCTCCCCCCAAGGGTATTAAAGATGATCACCAGCATCTCAGGGTTTCATTCTACCAGTGTAGCAAGCCCAGCAGAGAGACAGAGGCCCCTTTCCCAAGGACCCCAGCAAGAGTCCCACGGTTATCTCTGATGTGGCCACCCTTGGGTCACACTCCCATTCCTGACCAATCACTGGCCAGGAAGACGTGACTCCTAGAGCCAGAGAGCAGCCCTCTGTGATCCACAGTAACTGTGAGTGGGAAGGAAAACCAGGCGAGGCTATGGGCAGAAAGGGGACACAGATGCCGCCAGACAGCACTGTCTGGGTCAGAGGTCCAAGTGACAGTCTCAGATTATTCTGAGAAAGAAAGGAGCACTTCTAACTAGCAGGGAGTGAAATCTGGAATCTGGGAGAGCTTCATGGAAGAGAGCACTCTTTGAGCCAGACCTTGAAAACGAGGGTAAGATTTGAAAACACACAGAAGGAAAGCTTATAGGCGGAATGCCCAGCCTGGGCAAGGGCGGGCTGGTGCCTGACACACCCATCGTGTCTGCCTGGAGCTCCGACGTGTGCGCAGGTGCACCACGGTCCCAGGTTGCAGAGGGGAGCTGAGGTCACGGCACTGAGAGCTTTGAAGGCCATGCTAGGAGGAGGTTGGCATCTCACTCCGTGCCTGCCAAGTAAGAAGTGCCCTTACTGAGTCGCCAGCCTAGAGTCCTTGAGTCTGTGAGCCTCAGCCGGGGGTGTGGGGTTCACGCAGAGCTCCTCTCAAGAAGGCCCAGCCCTCCTAAGGCCTCTGAAGCCTGGCGCTGAGCTCCTCATCTGGCTGCTGGTGCAGTGGCAGGGGCAGAGAGACACCGCCTTGGGGATTGACGACGCCTTGGGTTAGCAGCCCAGCCTGGGTGATCTTGGCAAGGGACTTAACCCTTTGGAGTCTGTTTCCTCGTTTATAAAAACAGGGATAGGAAGACCTACCTCAAAGGGTGGTGCCAAGGCTGAGACAGCACCCTCATAAGTGTCTAGTGAATACAAATTGGACCATCCCTTTCTTTTTAGAATCAGGGCTATTTCAAATTATCAAAGGCCTCCTGACCCCGGGACCAAACAAGGCGGGATTGGCATGTATACACAAATTTTGCTGGCTCATTGTACCCACCTCCTGACCAATGACTTTCTCCCTGAGCCAAGTCATCCTCCCACACCCGTGGAGGGCAGAGGGTTGGCAGGGGTGGGAGGAGGCTTGTCTCAGGGGCCTTTAAAAAACAGTCTGACCACTGGCCTTCAGGGGAACACACGCTTCCTGCCTCTCGGGGTGGGCTCCAGCAATCCCAGCATGGCAACAACTTAGAGATGAAACAAGGACATGCCTGTCCTTCGGGCCTCTCTGCGCCAGCCAGTTCTGTGACACCCAAAAGTGGGGGAGGCGTCCCTCTCTCCTCAGGGACGTCTTAGCACCACAGAACTGTGTCGTCAGATCCGGTCCTTAGAGTCAGGCAGGGCCCAGAGCTGGGGTGAGCTGTCTGATGCCCCCAGCTACCTCCATGTCCACCTTGAAGGCCCCTCTCCGCCATCACGGGGTTTCTTCTGCAAGCCATTTGCTGTGTGCTCATGACAGGCCGGGCCCTGCGCCTGAGCCCCGGGGCATATGGCAGCCATGTCCTTCAGGCCACATGACCACCTGGGGCCGGGGGAGTGGGGGGGACCAGAGCGCCTGGGTTTGAATCCAGCTTTAGGTCCTCTGAGTTGAGTTTTCTCATCAATATGCTAGAGGGAGAGGGATAGTTCTGACTTCCCAGGGCTGCCATGAGGATTCAATGAAATAATCTATGTAACACCCCATCGGAGGGCCCGCCATATACCGGGCCATCCATGTCAGTGGCTGTTAGTAGCAGGGGGCAGTGTAAGAATGATTCACAATAATCTTATTACTGCTTGATAAGCACATGGGAAGGGGTTAGGGTAGGTTCCCCTTATCTCCTGACCTGGAGCGGTTAGATGATTCACTACAGGTAAAATTTTTTTATCAGGTGAGGAGCGCTAAAGGCTATGCCCAAAACTTGACCCCATTGATGACCTCCTGGAAGGGGCTGGGAAGAGGGGGAAGACTTCTCCCTTTATGTCTTTGTAAGGTGCCAAATGCAAATACTACCTATTCTAAATAAAATAAAACTTCATACATTTTTACAATGCATTTTAAAAAGAGTCCTTGGAGATAAAGAGAAGAAAGTGGATGTGGAGAACTTGTGGGAGAGAAATAGAAGGGGACTAGAAGAGGGATCTCCGTGGCCAGCAGCCCAGACCAGTGGTTCCCAGGTTCACCTGGGAAGTTTGTCAAGAGGCAGATTCCTGGGCCCCCCTCCCAAGGGTTCTCTGATTCCATAGATCTGAGGGGTGTCTGGGGAGTTTGCATTTTTAACAAGCTCCCCCAGTGTTTCTAATCTCGATCCAGTCATCACTGGCTGCAGGTCCAGGAACTTGCCTGTGACACCCCCCCATGGACCACCCCCCAGCCTCCTCTCCCTGTGTGCATTTCCTCTCGCAGGGATGGCGTTCCATACTGCGAGTCTGACTACCATTCCCAGTTCGGCATCAAATGTGAGACTTGTGACCGGTACATCAGCGGCAGGGTCTTGGAGGTGAGTGGGTTCAAGTAACTGGGAAGGTGTTTGTGCGGGATGGCCTATGACTCCAAAAGGTCATCACCGAGGACCCCTCCTTCCATAGCCTACCCCACCCCCACTGCCATGACCTCAGCTGAGTTTGCTCCCTGACTTGAGTAGATAACTTTGCCTCTCCGGGCACCTCAAAAATGAGAAGCTGGACAAAATTATTCCTGGCTCCAAAAATGCTGTGCTGGGACTATCAGTGTCGTCTCTGAACTCAGACCCAGATAGATCACCACGGAGAGACAATTGTGGTTTTCTTCCCAGCCCTGCTAAAGGATGGAAGCCATTTTTAAGTTTTAAGCATTTGGTAAGGTGCTGATCTAAGAACCAGCTTGTCTAGCGGTTGGCTCCCTGGCTGGTCCATCGCCATGACAACAGCTGTCCCCTGCCTCTGATGACCAGCTCGCTCTACCTTTAACAGGCGACCCGCAGCTGAGCCCCTGCCCTGGCCCCCTGTCTGCTGCCCTTCCAGGCCTTCCTTCCACACCCTGTGGGTCCAGAAAGCTTCCTATGCTTTGGGACCACCCACCTTGAGGAATTAAAAACAGGAAAGAGCTTGGTACAACAGACGAACAATAGCCTAAGAGCAGGAACAATTGGGGTCGGATATTGACTCAAGGGCTAACTCATGCTCAGGTTCACGGTGAGTGTCTTTGCCTCTCCAGGCCTCAGTGTTCCCTTCTGGCGGTGGCTGGGGGACGGCAGACTGGGGCAGCTCTTATGGGCAGGCTCACCAATCGTGTTACGGGTGGCCAGTTGGTGGTGGTCACCTGCAGTCTGCACTGTGTTGAGAAGGATTCTGCAGCCACCTCTGGGCCCAGCAGGAGAGAGTGTCGCAACCAGGGAAGGAGGAGCCCAGGAGATGCCCTGAAGCTGAGCCCCAAGGACAAGAAGGAGACTGTCTGGGGCTGCACTAGGAAAAGAATAGAACTTGACCCCTTCAGGGAACAGAGAAAAAAGCCAGTGTTGCTGAATTATGTAAACTGAGGCTCAGGAAGGATGGTCTAGCACACGGGGCTTACCGCATAGGGCTTTGTAGCCGTTTAGGAGTTGGGATTTTGTGGTAAGTGCAATGAAAAGGTATTGGAGAGTTTTCAACCGAGGAGCAACAGTATTAAGATTGTAGGGATTCTGAATAAGATAAAGGCACAGAACTGATAAACCATGAAAGCTTCCCAGGAAGCAGTAGGAGTGAGGTGTGGAGGAGAAAGCAAGCTACAGGAGCACAGCTAAGGTGTTGGCCCCGGTTTCCCAGGGCCCCATTCCAGGGTGAGGAGTTTGTATAGGATTCATTGGGCAACAGAGTTTGTGGAAAGACTGAGCATGAGTGACCCACTCAGAGCTGCTCTTCAAAGGGGGATGACGTAATGGACACAGGTTACATTCGGAGGAAAGAACCTGGAAGTGGGAGACCAGCGAGGAGGCCATGACACCGCTGGCAGGACTGGAGACCTGTAGTGGCAGCAGACAGAGAACCCACCTGCCTCCCGCGTGATGGCAGTGGGATTCCCACAGCTTTGTTCTGGGGCCACCAGTAGACATAGGGTTTGAAGGAAAAGAAGTCAAAAGTTGTACCAGAGCATCAAGCCTGGATGGGAGAAAGTCTGGTGCTGCCCCCTGGGGAACTGGGGGCGGCCGGGAAAGGAGCTGATCTGGGCAGTAACAGCAAGTTCCATCGGAGACAGGTTGTGATTGAAATTCCGGGAAGGCTTCAGGAAGGCGGTCAGAAATGTGGAGCAGAGCTCAGGAACACAGCTCAGGCATGGACGGGATAATCTCAGAGAGGCTAGGATTTGAGGAAGCGGCAGTACCAGGGGAGTCACCCAGGATTGAGAGAGGGAAACAGAGGAAGAGAGGGAGGGAGGAGTGAGCTGAAGGTACCCTGGGGAACAGGTGGCACAAGGAGACTGAGGGGTTGTCAGAGAAAGAGGAAGAGCAGTCAGGGCTATGGGATGAGAATGGAGCGCTTCAGACAGCGCTTCAGAAAGGAGGGCGAGGTCCACCAGCCTTGGCCAGATTCTGTGGAGCAGGTGAGGTCTATGTGGGCTGGGGAAAAGCCAGGAAGGGAGGAGGCCTTCCAGAAAGTTTCAAGTCTGCAGGATTAGAAAGGAGAGGCATCTACACCGTAGTGTGGGTAAAGGGTCTATGGGATGAGAGGTCATAAAAGAAGACTTTTTTTTAAGATTTTATTTATTTGAGAGAGAGAGAGAAAATGAGCAGCTCCCTGCTGAGCAGGGAGCCCCAGGCAGGACTTGGTGGAACTTGATCCTGGGACTCTGGGATCATGACCTGAGCCCAAGGCAGACGCCCAACAGACTGAGCCACCCAGGTGCCCCAAAGCAGACTTTTCTTTGGAAAGGAGGAAATCTGGATCACATGCAGGGCTGCAGATGAGAATTCATCGTGGCATTTCCAAGCGGCTTTGAAACTGTGTCTGCGGTGGCTGTCCTCTCCCTCATGTTATTGGGTTTAGCATCATGGGAGCCTCCTCTTGGGCTGCTGTTGTAACCAGCTTTCTATTGATTCCAATTATACGAGGTTCCATTAGCATCGTGGACTTATTGATTTTTTTTTTTCCTTAGCGCTGGAAGAGACTTTTAGCTATCAGCTAGTTAACCCTCCTCGTTTTACAGATGAGAAAAGTGAGCCCTAAGACCTGTGATGTTATTCCAAGGTCATACACAGCATTTCTGGTAAAGCGAAAGCTAAAAATCTAGAACTCGAAATTCCTGTATCCCATGACACGTGCCCACAGCTCTCAGCCACTCAGGGGTTGGTCTTTGAGGTTTCATGATGTCATGAGATACATGGTTGGAATGAAACAGATTTGGATTCCAATTTTACCACTTCTAGCCATGAAACTGGAAGCAAGTCACTTTCTCTGAGACTTAGAGTCTTTCTCTATCCTGTCGAATTCTACTGTCATTCAACTTCTCATGGATATGTTAGTGTGAAATAATAGAAAGTAAAGCTATTGGTCTCTGTCCCCAGTTCCTGGCACGGAGCTACTAAAATCTCTGCAATTTCCTAAGTGTTAAGAGCACTAGGAGCATGTGTTCTAATATTAGTCTTTGACCCTGGTTCCTGATGCAGAGTTCCTAAATCTCCTGGAATTTCCTGGGTGGGTGGTGATAGGAGTGTCTTTTGTGAATGAGGCTGGATGGGGTCCTAGAGAGATTCGGGATGGGAGCTGATCACCAGGAAGACCAAGCCATGATTGGAAGCTTGGAACTTCCAGCCCCATCTCCCATCTTCCAGGAGGGGAAGGGGGAGGGGCTGGAGCCTGAGGTAATGGGGGATCACACCTAAATGATGAAGCCTCCATAGCAGTCCCCAAAGAATGGGGTCTGGAGAACTTCCGGGTGGCCGAACCTGTGGAGGTTCTGGGAGAGTGGTGGGTCAGGAGGGGACATGGAAGCTCCGAGCCTCTTCCCACACACCTTTTCCTACAAATCTCCTCTAGCTGGATGCTCATCTCTAACCTTTATTGTAGGTAAATGTGTTTCCCTGAGTTCCATGAGCTATTCTAGCAAATTATCAAACCCAGCTTGGGGGGCATGGGGACCCCAATTTATAGCCAGTTGGTCAGAAGCAACCTGGGTCTGACAACCTGGGACTTGGGTTGGCATCTGAAGAGGCAGCCTTGTGAGACTGAGCGCTTAACCTGTGGGGTCTGATGATCTTTCCAGGTAAATAGTTTCAGAACTGGAGTAAGCTGTAGGACACCCAGCTGGTGTCTCAGAGAATTGCTTGGTGTGGAAATCCAGCCCCCAACACACATCTAGTGTCAGATGTCTTGTGAGTAGGGTAGTCATGTGAGAGTAAAGGACACATACAGGAGTATCTTTATAGGTAGTCAGAACCTTTTTGGTTGCAAGTGCAGAAATTATACTGAAATAGCTCAGGCCAAAATGGAAATTTATCAGCTTCCATAATAAAACACCCAGGTGGAGGGCTTGCTTCAGGCACAGCTGAATCCAGGACTCAGATGAATGCATTTGGAGTATCTTGCCATCCTGGCTCCACTTCATCCTGTGTTGGTTTTATTCTCAGGAAGGCTGTCCTTCATGATGGGAGAGTTGGACACCAGCCACTTTAGGATATAAGCCTATCAGACAGCATCTCCAGGGGAAGGAAAGCTTCTCTTTTCTCATAGCTCAGCTTGGGACTGGTTCTCACTGAACAATCTCAGAGCCATCTCCAAACCAATAGCTGTGACCAGAGAATTGGAATACACTTATTGGTGGGGTCAGCCCTGCTTAACCACATGGACTGATGTGGGGAATATGTAGGACCACCTGGGTAAACCCTGGTGCTCTTTCTGGAAGAAGAGGGAAGAATATTGGCCAGGCAAAAAACACTTGCCCACTACAGGGCCCAGGGCATATGTAGGGACACAACAGTATGTAATGAAATTTCATTTCCCCTTTCCCATTCCCTCCCTAGGCCCTTCCTCAGTGACAGAGCTCAACACGCTGAATGACAGTCACACTCCCTCCTTCCTTGTCTGTGTCCTCTCCAAGGAGAGCCAGAATGCCCAGTACTGCCTCTCCTGACCTTGCTCTGATTCTCAGCCTCTCCGATATGCCCCGTTTTTCTGCACTATTTTCTTGATTTCTGTTTCTTAACAGATTGTCCCATCTTAACCTCACTGACTTGGTTTCCCTTAATCTGGTGCCAGGTGTTCTGGCAGCCTCCCTCCCAACTTGCTTCTAAGTTGTCACTGTGATGGTGCACAGTGTCTCTCGGCCTGGGTGGGGTGATGGGGCGCGACATTGAGGAAGATGCCAAGCTTGGTTTTGCCAAGGCGCTGTTGCCTCCCTGGAAAACAGGTCTATAATTGAAATGAAAAAGAGACACAAAGTAGGAAGAGGCTACTAATTAAACCGATTGTCCTTGTCATGGTAGGAGAGGTTCAGTCCCATGACATACCAGCTTGGGAAAATAGCAGGCTCCTCCCAAAGTTTGAACACAGTTTGCTTTGGTGATGATAAGGGCATTTCATCGTTGCTGGAAGCCACACAAACCAGAGCAAATAAGGAACACTGGAGATTTTTTTTTTCCTTTTTGAAAAATCTGCCCTTTCTTCATTCTTGCTAAGTTTTTAGAATAAACCAAGTATTTCGAGAATAGAGAAGCCCATGCCTACCCATCCACCACCCCCCCCAAAAAAGATTCAGAAATAAGCCTTCAGCGTTATTCAGTTGTAATTTTTGAACTGGAAAAGGAACCCATTAGCATCCCACCAGACTGGGAAGTGGCCTATAACAATTTTCCAATATCCATTAATTTTCTGCAGGCATATCCCCCCAAATTAACCTTGCCCTAACATGCAGAATATACACTTGACTCTTAAACAACACGGGGTTAGGAGCACTGACCCCACACAGTTGAAAATCCACGTATCCTTTTGACTCTCCAAAAACTTAACTACTAATAGCCTACTGTTGACTGAAAACCTCACCCATCACATAACATCGATTAACACGTATTTGTGTGAGGTATGTCTTATATACAGTATTCTTACAGTAAAGTAAGCTAGGGAGAAGAAAATGCTATTAAGAAAATCATAAGAAAAAGAAAGTACAATTACAATGCTGTATTTATAGAAAAATATAGTCACCTGTAAATGGACCTACGCAGTTCAAATCCATGCTGTACAAGGGTCAGGTGTACCTTCAAAACAAGCCCCTCCTTCCCACCCCATCGCTGAGCTGAGTTCCTCCATATGGAGAGTCTGGAACCACCACTGAAGGACCCCTACATGCCAAGTCTTCTGGGCTTGGATTGTAGTATCAGAACAATCAGCATAGAAGTGAGTGCTACACGGGGGACCTGCACCCCAACACCCCCACCCCCATGACCTCTCCTCCGGGGGCCAGTATTGCTACCAGTTTCCAGTGACACCTAGAGGTGTAACCTCTGAGGCTCTTTCTTCCCCCATAGAAGAATTTGTGCTGCAGTTGGAGGGGAGCGCCTGGGTGGCTCAGTGGGTTGAGCCTCTGCCTTCGGCTCAGGTCATGATCCCGGGGTCCTGGGATCGAGCCCTGCATCGGGCTCTCTGCTGAGCAGGGAGCCTGCTTCCCCCTCTCTCTCTCTGCCTGACTCTCTGCCTACTTGTGCTCTCTGTCAAATGGATAAATAAAATCTTAAAAAAAAAATTAAAAAAAAATAAATAAAGTAGTTGGAGGAAAGGAAAGTGGGGATAGTCAAGGGGGCTCACCAAAACAAGACTGGGGTGAGCTGGGGGATGGGGCAGAGACACTGGGGTGCAGCCGTCACAGGCCTGGAGCCTCACTGTCAGCAGGTCCTGCCTTTGTGGGGCCCATTATTTGTCCACTGAGCCCTAAAAGCCTATCTTTCATGTGCCACTCTCAGAAGTTTTGCCATGTCTATGGACCTTACCTAATACTTCCTTACCTAATACTTTCATTGGCTTTAAGTTGGCTCACTTACAAATAATAAATAAATAAATAAACAAACAAACAAACACGTAATAGGAAAATCAAGATCGCTTCCTATATTGCCAGTAACCAAAATAAATATATATACATATATATATATATATATATATATATGTGTGTGTATATATATATCCTCTATTCTCTCTCTCTCTCTCTCTCTCTCTCACACACACACACACACACACACACAGCTCTAACTGGATTCTACTGCTTATGGAGGTGCCAAGCCTCAAACCTATTCTCATTCTGAGAAAGGTAGGTTAGTAAGTTTCCGACAAATGTTAAAGACACAGTAGCGCCAACTGGTACTCTCAATTCCGCTGACTTGGTTAGAAAAGCATATGACTTGATCTCAGGGTTGTGAATCTAAGCCCCATGTTGGGTGTTGAGATTGCCTAAATAAATTCAATTTTTTTAAAATGGAAGCATTGAAAGAGGATTGAAAAGAGGTCCTGTTCTTCATTGATCCAATGTTATTAAATCCCAGGTCCCTGTACCACTCAGAGTCACTCTGGTACAGCCAGTAATAAAGGCCCCATTCTTGGGGAAGTAATGAGATGTCCTCCAAACAAGATTGTTTCCTCATCTAGAAATGAGGAGGTGGGACCAGTGGACTCCGAGGGGTCCTTCCACTGCCAAAATAGAAGTGCAGGTGTCCGGGGAAGTCCCCTGAACTACCTTCGGGGTCCCACGGCATAGAATCACCAAGCTTCCTGGGTGGGTTTTTAGATGGTTCTGGGCTCCTCTGGGTAGACTCCCAACCAACCTTAGGGTCACAAAGGCACCAACAATGCTAACATGCCTAGGAGATGTTCAAACCCGACCTGCCCTGTGGACAGCAGCCCCAGCTCTGACCTCCTCTTTCCTCTCTCGATCTCCACAGGCAGGAGGGAAGCACTACCACCCTACGTGTGCCCGGTGTGTCCGCTGCCACCAGATGTTCACGGAAGGTGAGGAGATGTACCTCACAGGTAAGTAAACCAGACCTTCTGGAAGGCATCCCTGTCCACCCACGTCTGTAAAGGAGAGACCATCTCCTTCATTTCAGTGTTATCTTTGTTTTTGGCTTGTCCTCAAGACTGCAATTAATTCGCCCCACTCTGGGTGGTTCGGGAGAGTTGCCGTTGTGGCTAATGTGAAATGACATGTAATCTGCCTTCCGTCCCTGTGCGCCTCCGCCCGCTGCTCAGCTGGCCTGCTTCCCGGGCGGTGCTCTGAGCAGACTCTCCTGGCTCCGCCCAGGGGGCGGGAGCAGGAGCAGAACCAGGCTGAGGGGTCAGAGAACCCTACAAAAATGGCTGTGCTGCGGGCCGTCTGCAGCGTCACGGCCTCTCCCCCACCTCCCTCTCCCGCCCCCCACAACACAGAGCACCACAGCAGACTGCCTGGGGCTTCCCGCAGACTCTCGGAGTACACCAAAAGGAATGGAAAGGAACCCGCAGTCTCCAAGAAGTAAAGAGGGACTGGTCCCCCTCTGCCCCCTCCCAAGGCCTAGCCCTCTGGCCCCAGGCTTCTTGCAAGTCGGCCTATTAGTCCCCAGGCTCTGTTTTCTGCTCCAGCCTCGGCCCCGTCCATCCTCCCAGAATCTTGTAGTGTTCTCAGCGGATCCCTGTCTTCAGGGCCCCTGGCTGCCCACCACTGTAGGTACCCTCTCACCGAGGTCTCGGACTGCCTTTCCACTTCTAGCCCTGAACAAACCCAACACGTCGGCTGCGAGAGCCCGCCTGCAAGTGCTTCTCTGTCCACTCAGCAACCATTTCCTGAGACGCTACCGTGTGCGGGCTCTGCCCCAGGGCCCCTAGCGAGTTCCAGCCCCAGCCCCTTGCAGCGGAAGGGGCCACAGTCAGGAATCCCACAGATAACCAGCCATCGCGATAAGCTTCATGAAGGGGGGAGGTATGGGACTCTGAGAGCCCTCATGTGTGGGGTGGGCGTTGGGGAAGATGCCCTGAGGAAGGGCCAGGATCAGGGCCTTGAAGGATGTTGAGCTAAGAATCGCCCCCTGAGGGGACAGAATCCACCAGGCTCTAAGGTGGGTAAAGAAAGCACAGGTGTGGGGGCCATAGTGGGGGACGGGGGGAGTGAGGCCGGGTGGGGGGCAGGGGCGGACAGGGAGCTCATTCCTTGCTGCATCCTCGTCCTCATTGTTGCGCTTTGCTCTCCTGCCTGCTGGCTCACTGCAGACTCCCACGCCCTTCTCTGGAAGTCCTGCCATTCTAGGCCGAGGTGGGTCACTCCGGACTTCACGATCCCCTCTGGTGCCCCCCGACCCCACCCACAACTTACACACTCCCTCCTTCCTGGTCCCTCCAGCTTGCCGTGGAGTCCTCGGCCTTCTCCGGGAGACTGTTTGCTCCTGACATGGACCCCACTAAGTCGTCACTCTACAGGGGATCATTGTTGGCTGATGTGTGAGCTAGGAGAGCCCTTCCTCCACATTTCCCTTCAAAGCAGGACTAAGGCCAGGGAAGCAGTCACAGAGCGTGTGTCTTCCTGTCATGCTAGGCAGTGCGTGCTTTGCCTAGAACAGGGTTTCTCAACCTTTGCACTGTTGACACTTTGGGCCAGAAAAGTCTTTGGTATAGGGACTGTCCTAGGCCATGCATGTTGTTTGGAGGCACACCTGACCTCTACTCGCTCAATCCCAACAACATACTCCTTCCGGTTGTGACAACCCAAAATATCCCAGGCATCCGCCCTGGGGAGGCAAAATTGTTCTCGGTTGAGAACCACTGGCCCAAAGATAGTCAAGAGAATCTCATATCTTCTACTGGGAATGCTGGAGCAGGAATTCTCGGTTGGGTTGGACTAGGTGTCCATTTCTAAGATGCTATGAGCTTACAACTACCTACTTATATGTACAGTCAGACTCCGGCTCTCAGGGGTAGCAGAACCTCCAGGTGGCTGCATCCCCTAAGACTCCCACAGCCAGAGTCAGCATGACTCCAGCATGGGAAGGCCTGGGCCCCCTCACTGTACAATCACACAGCATCCCTTGAGGCAGGTCCTAGAACACCCTGCAATTACTCCCACTCTCCTAGGAGCCAGGAGGGTAGGAATGGAGATAATTAAGGAGGAGGGTGACAGGCCCTTCTTCATCACCAAAAATATCTCCCACCTCCCGCAGGCCCCTCTCTCGTAGGTTTGATTGCACATTCTCTCGAATGATCACCAAACTGTTCCCCTCATCACTTAACCCTTTCAGCATTCTGTGACGTTCTGGCCAGAAGCAAGGCTTGGAGATTCTGGATACACGAGGACGTGAGCTCCGTGAGGGCAGTGAACTTGTCAGACCTGCTCGCTGCTACATCTCCAGTTGTTAAGGGAGCACTGGGCACATACAGGCAGTGCTCAATAGATATTTGTTGAATGAATGAAAGAACTAAGAACTTTCCATGTGTCACAAACCTACCATATCTTATAGGGACTGTTATTAGCCTATTTTACAGGCTAGGTAACTGAGGTTCAGTGTTAAGAGACCTGCCCAAGGTCAAAAACTTGGTAAGCAGGGCAGCCAGCCATTCAATGGAGAGATCGGGATTGGGAATTCGGGCAGGTAAAGATGTTGATGATTCTAGAGATGTGAGTGAGAGAGTAGTTCCAACACTAGGAAATGTGCTTACCAGGAAAGGGGGAGAGGAACACAATGCAAAGAATTTCCAAACTAAGTGCACAGTCCAGATTCCTGGCGGTCGGGGTGCACAAAGACATCATGCAGGGTTCTGAGACTCAGGAGGACTCCCCGCACGTAACCCAGTGTCCTGCAGCAGGAAGCGCTAGGGATCAGCGCTGATGGAAGAGGAAGGCCCAGTCCTTGTTGGGACCTAAGTAGCAGGCAGAGCCTGGGTCCCAGGAGGTGAGGTGGGAAGAGCCCCGGGGGGGCATCATAAAGCCAGTCTGCCCCTACATCCTCCCGGGGGGCGTGGGAGGGGTAACTAGCCCTCAGAATGATATTCCCCAGAAATGGCAAGAAAACTCTCCGCATAGGCAGCACAGAAGTGAAGAGAGCTGGGAGTCCTGGGTTCAAGGACCAACACGTCTGCGGATGGGCTGCGACCTTGAGAAATGACTTCCTTCTCTGGGTCTCTTCCCTCACCTGCAAAATGAGAATAATTGTTCTCCCTCGTTCATACATTCAAACCGGGGCCATGCTATGTGCCAGGCTCTCTGTGATGTGCTGGGAGCTCAGACATGAGCAAAGCAGGAGTGCCTGCTTCCTCGGCGGAGTGTGCTCTCAGGAGGGGAGGCTGACTTCAATCAAATAGAAGCATAGATATAACAACAAGCTGTGATAAATGCAGAGAAGGGAAAGTTTGGGAACCATGGGAGTATGCTTAGAAGGCTCCTGATCTAGTCTGGAAGGTCAGAGGAGGCTCTGCTGAAGAGGGGAAATTTCAAGCCAAGATCTTGGAAATGAGTAGGAGGTGGGAGGGTGAAGAGGGGAGGAAAGATGGTGGAGGTGGGGGGAGCAGCAGGTGCAAAGGCCCGCTGTGGGAGGAAGCATCGTGTGGTGGAGAAACTGAGGCAGGCTCCCACACACCCCACCACCCGCCTACAGAGAGCAGGTGTGCTCCACAAGGTCCTCATGAATATCAGAGACTGAATGCAAAAGTGCAAAGTGCCCGGTGCAGAAGCAACATACAAGACAGAGACAGAGAGCAACCGAGCGAGCATTAGGAAGGTTGCAAAGTTTAAAATCCCAGTCTCGTCAGTTCTGGAGCGGGACACAACGAGGCATTGGCAGCGGGCCTCAGGAGGTTCTTCGGGTCAGTTTGTTTGTGTTTTAATTACGGTGTGATGGCTTTCTGATGAGCTCTAATTGGGAGAAGGCTGACGTCTGTCGAGGGGAGAACTTCTGGGCCCCCCCCCCGGAGACCAAAGCAAGTTTTCTTCTATTTGTTTTAAGTTCTGTTGTGCATTATCTTTTAACTGCTTCTGTAAAGATGCCAGATTTCTAAACTGTTTGTTGTCCAAACCCTTCATTTGGGTTTCACCAGGAAATCACGTCATTGATTTTGTGCAGCAGAATAATAGCCGAGATGCTACAGGTTCAGGCAAAACACACCGAAATCACAAAGCTTACAGCTGCTGGGTCAGCGGGAGTTTTTCTAAACCCAAAATGTGGCTCATCAGATAGACTCTGTCTTTATTCTAAAAACATCTGGACCCGGGGAAAAGGAGAGATAGACTTTGTTCCTGTCTGTCTTTCTACGCTGCATACACCCCTCCTCTGAGGGTCTGAGAGAGAAGGACACTGGGAACCCAGGAGCTCAGCTGCAGAGTTTTAAACAGGTCTCTGTTATCATCGTATAGTGAACTACACAGGCAGGAAATCCTGACAAACCTGGCTCTGCTAAAGGAAGAAATGTAACAAATTGTAGGTCCTGCTAATAATAATAATGGCCCATCAGCTGATACTGGTGGAGTACCTAGTATGTGCCAAGCACTGTACTACAAGTTTTAAATGAAGTCTCCCATTGTATCCTCCCAACAGCCCTGTGAGTTAAGAGCCATGAATATCCCCCATGTAGAGAAGAAGAATGTTAGAGAGGTTACGTCCCTGGGCCAAGGTTAGCTGGCCTATCTTCCTAGGCTTCGTTTAAGGCACTTTCTCCCATTTCTTTTCAGAATCCTTTTCTTTTTAAAGATTTTATTTGTTTATTTATTTATTTGAGAGAGAAAGAACGAGCAGAGGGAGCGACAGAGGGAGAAGGAGAGGAAGAGGGACAAACAGACTCTCCCGTTAAGCAGGGAGCCGAACTCAAACTCGGGGCTCAATCCCAGGACCCCGAGATCACGACCTGAGCTGAAGTCAGACCCTGAATTGACTAAGCTGCCCAGGAGCCCCCATTTTCAGAATTATTAACCTGTAGTTATAGTTTGTAGTTGGCCTTCTGAATCCAATGAATCTCTTTGAAATTGATTGCTGAAGTTTGCATGTAGGTATATTTCTCGAAGGAGAGGGTCCGTA